TTCACACTTGCTGTCTGGTCACCCTATCTCAGCCTGGCTCTCATCAGTTTAGTTATACTTTACAAGGTGACACCAAGAGGCCTTTCAGTCCAGAGTCTCCCAAAATATGTCCTCCCTCAGTTCCTAACTATGGGAAACTTGGATCATTCCCCTCTGGTTTGTCACCCCACAGGTGTGAAACCAGCCCCTCAGTTACCAGCTTACTTTGGAGCACACACTCCATGCAGTTTGCACACCAGAGAACTGCTTGGGAAGAAAATAAACAAAGTTTATTTAATAGAAAAAAACACAGATTCAAAGATGAGACAGTAAAGGAAGCAAACGTACTCAAGTTACACAGAAAATAAAGACGCAACCTTTCCAATCTTTACACTTTCAAATTAGATAAAAATATCTTAAAACAGTTTCCCAGTGTACTACCTGGCTACTGGGCAGGATCTGGCTTTCACAGACAGCCTCCCACCTGAACACTGGCCCTCAAGTTCTGGATGAAAAAACCTCTGTTCCAAGCCTCTTTTTAAATGGTGGTTTTCTTTTCCTCTCACACCATATTGACTAATGGTTATTCAGATTAGTGAAATTCCCTCTTGACTTGATGCTGCGGAGTGGGGGGGGAGGGGTATTTTTTTTCAGCTGTAGGTTATCTCAATGTCTTTCCATTAACTCTAATGGTCCACCATTGTCCTTTCCCTACAATGGATAATTACTTGAAGCCAAGGTTGTGTAAACAACTGGCTTGGAAAATACCCCTCCCTGCTTGATTGCTTCACCATCCTGATGTGGGGTGTAGTTGACTTGGCCCCACAGATTGAGCACAGTTTTCTGTATTCACAAATTCATAACCATAGTCTGTATATCTCATAATAAGCATCAAGTTCAGAACATTACAAGCTTTCATAAAAGACCTTACTTGATATATTTTATAGTTCAATAACACTGTATGCAATTAGCTGATTTACCTGCTTATTTTTGGGGTAAACCTTCTGTTCTCCCCTTGTGGTGTCTTGACACTGCTTGTTACACAGCCCCTTGTGAGTTTGAGGCTGGAGTTTTGGTCTCTGGCCAAGACATAAGGTTCACCTCTGCTCCTCTTTTTTTGGATAGGGTGTTGGCTATCTTGTTCTGCAATCCCTCCCCACGTTTAATCTCCACAACCTACTCCTACAAAGTTATGTTGCAGCAGAGCAAGGTGGAGTTGGTTCCTTTTGTTCTATGGAGCCATACTATTGGTGAGTGGTCTGTTAACAACTGGAACCACCTATTGAACAGGTAGGGTCTGAGTTGCTTTACAGCCCACCGTATAGCATAACATTCCTTTCTTATTATCGAATAATTCTGTTTAGTGGGAAAGTTTTTTGCTGAGAAATGCCATGGGATGTTTCTTATTATTTTATTCCATCCCCTTCAGATTTAATTACATCTCAAATGACCACCCTAAACCCATAGGTTAAGGGACATCAATGAAGTGAGATGTAGCTCACGAAAGCTTATGCTCAAATAAATTGGTTAGTCTCTAAGGTGCCACAAGTACTCCTTTTCTTTTTGCGAATACAGACTAACACGGCTGCTACTCTGAAACCTTTCCCTCTCCTTGACATCTATACTTCTCTCAGTGGTTGCTTCCCATTCTTTACTGGGTAGCATGAGTTTGTGTTTTTATCACCCAGAGTCTTTCTCATTCCAGGGCAGCTCTGACATGGCACATAACAGCTATGCCTAGTTTCCCTGTTACCAGTGGTGTTCTGGCTCACAGCACCTTTTAGTTGTACTAGTGTCTTACCACCCCCAGCAGTCTTCCCTGCTGCCAACAGAGTTCTGGCCCACAGCATTTCCTAGCTGTACCAGTGACTCCCTGCTCCCAGAAGATTCTGGGTCACAGCACCTTCAGCTGTGCCACAAACATACTCAGCACTTGCCAGAGTAGACACTGAGTTCACACCCTTGACGACTGAGTCTGGCCGTGGCAGCCTTGTATCTGAGTCCTCCGGGTTTAACCCTGTTATATTATTGCAGGAAATAACATGTCAAGAAAAATAACTTCCCACATTACCACTGTCAGAATCTCAGAACAAGTTTAGAGTCCAAAATGACTCAGGCTACAGTCTGAGCGATGGGGTCCATCTCATCCACATCTGTTTGTCTGCTAGTTTTTGATCAGGCATATCTGTATGTCCTTCCTTCCTGGGTCCATGGGACTGCCTTGACCTCTTCTGTTCAAGCTGCCGGTGTTTGTCCTGATCAGCAAGCTTTTTGTTGATCCAGCTCTGCCCCCTCACTGTGATGTCTGGCCTCCAGCTCCATCCATCCATCTCTCCTCCTCGAGTAGTCTTTTCCTCTCCAGATCGCCACCTACCATGTGACATTGGGGAGCTTTGTGCTGTGCAGCTATGGTGCAGATTCCTGATGCCAGTAGCCTGCCCCCAAGCATAAGGTCTCACCCCTAGTTCTCATCAGCCTAGTTACTCCTTGTATGGTGGCACCGATAGCTCTTCCAGTCCTGAGTTTCCCCAAATACATCCTCCCTGAGTTCCAAACTACCAGACAAGTGGACCATTCTGCTCTGCTCTGCTTCATATTCCCTAAAGGCATGACACCAGGCCCTCTGATACCAGCTTACATTGGCATATACACTCCAGACAGTTTGCACACCAGCGAACTGCTTGGGATGAAAATAAACAAAATGTTTATTTAACAGAAAAACCACAGAGTCAATGATGAAATAGTAAAGGAAGCAAACATATCCAAATTACACAGAAAATAAACATAGATGCAACTTCAGGTTTTATACTTTCAAATTAGATAAAATTCCTTTTTTAAGACAAGTTACATATTGCCTTAAACAGTTTCCCACTACTGTCCTTTCCTGGGTTGGACAATGGATAATTATTTGAAGCAAGTTTCAGAGTAGCAGCCGTGTTAGTCTGTATCCGCAAAAAGAAAAGGAGTACTTGTGGCACCTTAGAGACTAACAAATTTATTTGAGCATAAGCTTTCGTGAGGTACAGCTCACTTCATCGGATGTATTTGCATTCATCTGAAACAAGTTTCTTCTGAACAACTGGCTTCGGAAGTGCCCTTCCCTGCTTGACTGCTCTATTGTGAGGTGTAGTTGAAGTTGACCCACAGATTATGAGCCCAGTTTTCTATATACATAAATTCATAATCATAGTCTGTATGGATATTTCATAGTGAGTATCAAGGTCAGAATGTTACAAGCTTTCATAAAAGACATTACTTGATCTATTTTATAGTACAATCAATTGATTTAACTGCTTATTTGTTGGGTTTAAACCTTCTGTTCTCTCCTTGGGGTGGCTGGAGGCTGATTATCAAACCCTATCCACAATTACAACCTTTTCTCTGGTCTAACAAAGTATCAAACCTCTCCTGCCCCCTCTTCCCACTCTTTGCAACTCTACCCTCACATCTTCTTGCTCTTGCAGGTCTGTGTGTTATCTGCTCTTTTCTAAGCTGTAGCAGATGACCTAGCACTCTGTGGAAGGCTAAGTGAGTTTGGTTAGCGGACTCTCCTCGACAATGTATATCATTGTTTGATCTGTGCTGCAGTTTGAATTGTCTCAAAGACCCCAACAGTGTGCGGTCGGAATTGGTTAAGAAGGGCCAGCTGATGATGTGGCAGGTTGAAGCTGGGCAGGTGAGCAGTAGGGTCTGTGACAAGGAACTGATTGATGGTTGATGTTAAGCGCCAGTCTTCCTGCCACAAGGACTGCACTGTCATGTCCTGGTGACAGCCTTAACCATAGATTTTTTTCTCCTGCTGATAATAGCGCATCTTAATTAATTAGCCTCTTACAGTTTGTATGGCAACTTCCACCTTCTCTGTATGTATAATCTATATCTTCTTACTATATGTTCCATTCTATGCATCCGATGAAGTGAGCTTATGCTCTAATAAATTTGCAAAAAGAAAAGGAGGACTTGTGGCACCTTAGAGACTAACAAATTTATTTGAGCATAAGCTTTCATGAGCTACAGCTCACTTCATCGGATGCATCTCACGAAAGCTTATGCTCAAATAAATTTGTTAGTCTCTAAAGTGCCCCAAGTACTCCTTTTCTTTTTGTGGATACAGACTAATTCAGCTGCTACTCTGAATACTGGCATAGGATACTCTGGGTGGCAATGGATCAACATTCTCATCATATCTCCTGTCAGCACCTACCACAGTGCGGGGAAGCTAATGATCCTCCTAGCAAACTGAATTCGGCCAGCTCCTGCTTGGAGCATCCCAGTAAGGCTGCTTTCATTAATCCTAATGTGCAATCCCACGATTTTCATACCCGTCAATGTTGAGGGTTCATTGACAGCTAAATGACGTTTACTCAGCACTCTTGCTTAACCCCAACTAGAACACAATATTACAACTTGACTATGATGTGCCTCAGGAAGAGACTAGGCTGGACCACTGTGCCAGTTCCTGAGGGCCCCATAATGGCAGGAAATGATTAAGTGAGATACACCCAGATAATCCTGGCAAGTGACCTGCACGCTGCAGAGGAAGTTGTAAAAAAACCCCAAGGTCACTACCAATCTGAGCTGGGAGAAAATTCCTTCTGACCCAACATCTGGTCAGCAGTTAGACCCTGAGTGTATGAGGGTTGAACCAAACACCTGAGAGAGAGAGAGAGAGAGAGGGTGTGTGTGCTCCATGCCACGGGCAGGGCTCTGGCTTTCTGGGTCCAAAGTCCCATCTCCAACCAGGGCCATCCCTGATGCTTGGAGGGGACCGGTTCAGGTCCAGCCATCTACCAGTCCCCCCCCCCCCCACGCAGGGCTTCTCCTGGGAGCAGGGAAGGGCGCCTAGGGGCGTCTGGAACCATTCTGGAATCTGCGCTCACACCGGACGGGGCCGCGCCCCGGCTCGCCCCTCTGGACACCTCCCCCAGGGCCCCCTCCCTCCTACCTGCCGCAGCCCGCGCGGCTCAGCCGGAGGGGCGGGCGCTGGGCTGGGCTGGCCCAGCAGGGTGCAGCCCAGCGCGGCCGGTCACATGGGCGGGGGGGAAGGTGACTCAGGGCTCCCCCTCCCCGCCCCCTGGGGAGCTTGTGTGCGGCCGGCGCCGCTGCCACTCGCGCGCTTGCTGGCTGCCGGGGCAGGTGCGGTCCGCGCTCGGGTCTCGGCGCTGGTGAGTGGCCGCGCGGGGGCTCCGGGCAACTTCCCGCAAACTTTCGGGCCGGGGAGTGAGGTTGGGCCGCCCAGGGCGGGGGAACGTGGCTCCCAGTCACCCGCTGTGCGAGGCGGGCTAGGGGAGAGGCGGGGGAAGGGGGTGGTAGGAATGGGGGGATCGTAGGGGCTGCGGGGGATGGGAGGGGGAGTTAGGGTTTGCGGGGGGGCAGGTCTAATAGGAGGTGGATTTGGGGAAGGACCCACCCCCTTTCCCCCCACGCCCGGCTTTGGGCGAGGTGAGACCCACGTCCGGCTCCGGGCAGAGGGGCGGGTGCGCTGCTGACACTGTGCTCGTTGCCTGGGCCCCGCTCTAACAAATGGTTGCTGACTGATGGGCTTGAAACCGCAGCGGCTACAGGCAGAAGGCAAAGGACAAAAAAGTGTTTCTAGGCTGACCTACGAAGCCGCGGCAGCATGGCTGCCTGCAGCTAAAATCGCCTGCCCTGGGAGTGCGCGCGTGTTTGCCCATCCGGGAGGGCAGGAGAGGGAGAGACAGGTGCGGCGTGTGTATTTGTTCCCGGTTCAGTTTCAGGTCGTAAGCCCTTCGCCCGCTGAGTAATGTATGACTTTCACTGGAAATGAGCAGATAGGGTGACCAGAGGGCAAGTGTGAACAATCGGGGTAGGGGGTAATAGGTGTCTATATAAGAAAAAGCCCCCCAAATCGGGACATTTTCACCCTATGAGCAGAGCTTTTTCCTGAGTGAATCCGTCCCACTCCTGCCCAGTACTGGTCTGAATTCTTCATCTCTCTTTCCATTCCCCCCACGCTCCTACAGTAGCTGTGCGCTCATGAAGCTGGTATAAACTGTGGGTTGGGCTTACTTAATATCCCTAACTCATTCTCTTTCCTCCAAACTGCAGCGTGCATTGAGATAATAAGCCCAACTTGCAAAACAAGTCATGCCGAGGATGGGAGAGGGGAATGGAACACTTGTGTTGTGCAAGAGACTACATCAGTAGCTTTATCTGCTGGGAAATGTGTGGTTGGCTTTGACAAACTCCAGACCCCGCCCAAAGAGAGAAAATCAAGGGAGAGACTATAGATCCAAGCCTCCTCAACAGGCTAAAAATGGAGGGAGAGGAAGGGAGGGAGGAAGAGGATGGTGGGTATGGTTAAGGTAGAGCACTGAGAGCCTGTACGCTTGGATTTGCTGTAGACTTTGTCTGACCTTGTTGAATAAATCACTTAGCTTCTCTGTGCCTTGCTTTCCCCCATACTAACATAGAACTAACTAGCTCAGGGCTTGAAAAATATACTTGACACTTACTAGACTGAGGACTCTTCCTATTAGCTAGACCAGACTTCTCTGTATGGGGGAGTTAAAATGAATTAACTAAAGGTGTGAAGTTAATTGGCATAAATTAACCAAGTGAAATGGCCTTAATCCAAGGAAGATTAAGGCTACATCTACACTTAAAATGTTCCAACAGCATATCTGCACCGCTTCTGCATAGACACTACCTACACCAACAGGAGGGGTTCTCCCATTGGAGTAGGTAGCTAGGTTGACAGAATAATGCTTCTGTTGACCAAGCAGTGTCAGCATTAGGTGTTAGGTCGGCTTAACTATGCTGCTCAGAGCTATGGATTTTTCACATCCCTGAGCTACATAGTTAAAACTGACTTAATTTTCTAGTGTATGCCAGACCTAAGCTACAGCAAACTAATGCCATTTCACTTCTGAATTGGTGCGCACATGGGAGTTTAATGCACATGGGAGTTTAGTTTAACTTTTGACAACTAACTTTGCACTTTTAGTGTATTTGTATTAACTTTCCTGAGTGTCCCTGTACAGAAAAATCCAGGGTCTAAAACTGAAACCTGTGCCTGCTCTGCTCCTCCAAGGCTGTACCCATTGCAGCAGAAAGGAGTAAAACAATTGTATGCATCCGATGAAGTGAGCTGTAGCTCACAAAAGCTTATGCTCAAATAAATTGGTTAGTCTCTAAGGTGCCACAAGTACACCTTTTCTTTTTGCGAATACAGACTAACACAGCTGTTACTCTGAAACCTGTAATTGTATGTTGTTTCATTGTACCATTGTCCATCAACATTCCTATTAAATGCTTCTTAAATTTTATTAGTACAGTAGGGCAGGTTGAATAGCAGGTAATCCATGGAATGTATTTTAAAAATTCCGTTGGTATTAATCTACTAATACTTGCTGACTAGCATTTAACCAGCTATAAAGGTAGCTGCATACCACAAAGTATTAATCAAAGTAGTCAAGTATCAGTAAAAGTAACTAAATAGATTTTTCTCAGCACTATGTGACCAGCTCTACTTAGTACATTTCCCTGATACATATTTTTCTTCTTACCTCCTTTTCCTTCTTGGCTTCACTCTACTCTTTTTACTACAGTAATCTATTGTATATGCTTTTGTGAGTTGTCATCAGTGTCTTTCCTCTTTTTTTTCCCCTTTGATCCATTACTATATTTTTTTATCTCTTATTTTTCTTTTCTTTCAAGCCCTCCTTCTGTGCAGCACTTCTTTTCTCTAACTTACCTAATCAGTCACTCCTGCTCATCCCCATTTGTGCACTCACACATAGGATTTTGAAATTTGCCTAAAAGCCAGAGTGAGTTCAACTCTATTAGCCATAGATTGATACAAAATGTGCAGGGGGAACAGCAGGAATGGAGTCAGTCCTGATGCCCTTTCCTTGTGTAGGAAGCAGCAGAGTGCTGGGATGCTTACCCTGAACTTTACTGGGTACTCTAACTTTCATATCAGCCTCCAGAGCTAGTTGGTGCCTGATAAATTTACAGCGTCTCTGTTCAACTCTAGCTGGCTATAAAAAAACAGGAGGACCAAGGTGTCTCATAGGGTTTCCCCCATCCCAGAGCCTGTTAAATGATTTGGAGGTGGGGTTTTTCACTGTTTTACACCTCCTTCTGACTAGTGCAATGGGAAGGGAGGTTCTGCTACTCTACCTTTCCCACTCAGCTTTAACACCTGCACTAGCCTGCTGTTGCTGGAAATCCCCCCTCCCCCCCCCGTTTTTTTTTTGTTTTAAAGCCATAGCAGAGTTGAATTGGTATAAGATTTGTCAGTTTGACTACTGTGGGGATCTGAAAAACAGTGAAAACTGACAACACTGAACAATTTTCACTTTGCTGTAGTTCACAGAAGCTCTGTTATGTCTATCTGCAAATTCAGGAGGAGACTAATAAGTTTGAATTTGGAAAGTTTTCTTTGCAACCACAAGGATCAGAACCTTAATCCTGGTAGAAAGTGTTTTTAAGTATCAAGAATGATTGTTGCTATAAAACAGATCTAAAATATGTCAAAGCCTCATTATTATTTTACATTTAACGTTAATAGTTTTCTATAAATTTTTTTAAATGAAATCATTTAATGTAACTTAAAAACTAAGTTATTATGCATTCCCTTATAGCCCTGGAAATCAGAAGGTGACAGACAGCATTGTACTTGTGCATGAGAAGGGGAAAGTGAAACTGACCAGCCAACATACTTTTATTGTCCAAACTTGAGTGTGATAAAAAAGGTAAATGCAACATTAATGGTGAAAAGTAAACTTTACATTTTTTTGTATTATTGGATTATTAAAACAAATAAGATAATTTATTTTGTAAAACTGATGTTTCTTTAGTTAAGTTAATCTTTTGAGCAAGAAAATAGTAGCCAGGAAGGGTAATACAAGACAACTTTATTTTGCATATTCTCTGTCATGCATGCTGTACTCAAAGTGCTTTACAGAACTGAATGATATAATAGTTAAATAACAAAGGGGGAGAAAATTGAGGTAAAATCCAAGAATAATAGAGATTATTTAAGATAATGCAAAATCTGCAGTTTTTCACCCGGGTCATGCCACTAGTCCAGGGGTTCTCAAACTGGGGGTCGGGACCCTTCAGGGGGTCATGAGCTTATTACATGGGGGGTTGTGAGCTGTCAGCCTCCACCCAAAACCCCACTTTGCCTCCAGCATTTCTAATGGTGTTAAATGTATAAAAAAGTGTTTTTAATTTATAAGGGGGGTTCACACTCTGAGGCTTGCTATGTGAAAGGGGTCATCAGGACAAAAGTTTGAGAACCACTGGCTTAAAGCAAGCTCAGACAAAGACTAGTCTGTCTGAATGCTGTCGTCTTGTTTGAGCATTCTTTGGTTTCAGAATATAACTCTACTTGCTGCAGAGGTAGTATTGTTTCACTCAAAACATGTTTAATATAGTAAAAGCTGTTCCGTGTGCACTGCTGGAGTATATCTGGAATGGGATTTTATTGGTTTCATACATTGATGCAACTTTGTTAGCTACATCTTGGCTCCTAATGCAGATGAAGGTCAAATTGGGCTAAGATGCATACACATTTTAAGTGATGTTTTTTATGAAAAATGACCATTCTATTTTAAGGCCTGTAACTAGCATAACTTAGTTTTGTTCTGTTCTGAAAAGCAGCGCTGTAAAAATAGCACTGATTATCAATTATCTTGATTTCCATGTAAATGTGCTCAGAATACCAAAAGGGGTTGAATTTCAGTGGGATTTGGGTGCCTAACTTTTCTTAGGCTCCTCTGAGGATACCCCTGCACCAAGATATTCATCTAAATGTCACTGAAGCAAACACAAGGTAGGGTCTCTTCATGCACTATTACTCATAATAAAGGTTATCCAGGCCAGATTAATCCCTTGGTTCCAACTTTGCAGCCCTGTAGTTCTCATTATGATAACTGTTCAAACTCAGGTGTCAGTGAACGGAACTTGGTGAATTGTTCTGATGATTCACAAGAAGGAGTGGAATCAAGACTATAGCTCTTAACTGCATTAGCTCTGCATTGCTAACAAAAGTACAAAGCAGTAAAAATGTACCTTTTAATTTAAAAAAAGAAAAACAGAACAACCCTGCCTCCTCTGTGGAAACAGTGCTACCATTACTGCACATTAGTTTAACTTTCCCTCAACCAGGCTTATCTTTCACTGATGCTGCCCTCTGTCAGGAGTGCTGGAAGATCCTGAGAAGTGCGGGGGGGGCCCCTCCGGTGCCTGAGCCGTGGCCCCACCACCCTCATTCCGCCTTTTTTCCCCGGGGCACTACCCACTGCTCACTCCTCTCTGCCCCACCCCTGTAGCTCATCCTTAAGGCAGGAAAAAATTGATGGGGACATGGCCCTCTAGCCCTCTCCCATCCTGCCCGCATGCTCTGTACTTGAGAGGAGCTCTTTGTAGTGGCTCTATAGATTTTTACACTCAATTTTGCTATGTCTGCAAATCACTTGACAGTGGTCATGCAGCTGATGTAATCTGGCTGCTACTTTGTCCTCCTCACACCTCTTATGTTTTGTCCCTTTGTTTTACAGGTGTGTATTATTGGGGCAGGGACTATCTTTCTTATGTGTATACGGCACCTAACAAAATGAGACCTTGATCCCTGACTGGGATCTCTAGGCACTACTATAAAATAAATGATTCTGAATACCCAGAGAATAGATGTGTTGAGTGAGGTTATAATTTTGGAAGGTTTATGTATATGCTTAAGAAATGCATTGAAGTGAATAGGGCTATTCAAAGTTCATAAAATTAAGTATATATGTGAGTCTTTGCAGGACTGGGGTCTGAGAAAATACTACTTTTACATAATTGTTTACTGTAGTCTATGAATATCTCCAAGACAAGAACACAGCTACATTGAAGAATTCCCTCCCTGTTACTCTCATCTTCTAACAGAAGAAAGGAGCAAGCAATTCCCATTTCAAAGTCTGAAACACCAAGGATTGATTTGTTATCGACTTGGCAATAACTTGGATTATAAAGTGAAAATCCAAAAATGGCTTAAACTAATGCCGGATTAATTTGATTTAGTATTTTAATGTGCTCTTTTTTTTTATTTGGATATATTCCATGTTGGAACCCTCCATTTACCTGTGCTCCTAAAATTAATCTTCATGTAAGTGAATTTTTTATTTTTTTGGTCATGTCACTTGGAGTATGAAAAACTGGAAGTGTTTACAAGTGGCCAGAATTGATGCTTTGTGACTTGTAACTGATAGGAATACAGGTAAAAGATTTTGAAATATACTCTTGGAGCTGGTTTGAAAAATAAGGGATATTTTTTCATGAAACAGTTTGTGGAAAACTTATCCCTAGTTTTTGTTAAAATTTGAAATACGTTTTCAACCATCTCTAATGTGCATTTATACACTTCACACAGCCCTTAATCAGCCATCACCTATGCAACTTGTCCTGTTTTCTTTTCTTAAACAAGCTTTGCCTATTGGAAAGGTGTTAGCTGAAACATCAAAATACAGGGTTACAGTTACGACCTGCTAGTTTTTATGCTGTCTGACATATATTTGTTCCATCCTGAGGCTTCTGTGAATAGGTCATTGGTAATCATGTGGGAACACTGATAGTGTATTTTTTCTTTTTAAGGTGAAGATTGAAAATTGTAAATTGTTGAATGCTGAAATATTTTTCAAGTTGAGGTCCTTTTAAAGTGCACTTTACTCTAATCATTGGATGACTCTGCCTTAAGGATTTAGAAGTCTGCGTGTTGCTCTCTTCCATGTAAATATTCTGAGGAATGGTATAAAGCTGCTTTAGATTCTCTTGTGGAGCTATTAATGATTGCAAATTCATTGCCAAAGTTACTTTCTGTACCCTGAGTTTTACAATGTTCCTAAGGAATATTGGTTGTTTTTTTTATAGTTAAATTCTACCATTGTGATACCTGGATCCTGTGTGAATTTAATTAACAGATTTTTTTTTTTTTTTTATTGAGGCCAAAAATTGTATTCTCAGCCTGCTTCTGCTGAAATTAATTCCTTAGGTCACTTAAATTGATATTAATGTACCAACAAGATGGAGCTTTTTATTACATATAAAACTAGGTAGTTAAAAAGAAGTCTCCTTAGGTTTAAATCTATTGAACTTTTTTCCTTTTGAGACCTAATAAAACTACTGGTAGGAGAATCTTGGAAATCACTTATTGTATATCTTTGGTGTATTGTAAATTCACTCCTTTGACATGTTCTTTATCCAGTCTTGAGCACAACTTTTAAATTGTAGTAGTCATTTAAAAATAAACTCTGAAAATTTGAAATGTACAAGTTGTAGGAACTTTCCGTATCTCGCTTCAAAGCCTTGCAGAGAATCATTACAGGCTGGGAGGAGATCCCTCAACCTAACCTCGCACCTCTTCTCATGAGATGTAATTGGACAACAAGCAATTTGAGGAATTCGTTTATAAGTTGTGTTTTAAAAAAAAAACCAACAACCAACAAAAAACAAATGCAAACAAAACCCACCACCACTTTCTAAAATGTGAATAGGAAAATGAGTTATTTTATTCCTTTTATATTTTATAACATTATTCCTGTGAGTTCTTCTACTGCATTGTTAAAACTAAGTAGCTCAGGCCCAAATTTTGACCTACCTTTCAAATGGTCCAGTGGAAAATTGTCTTTGGATGCATGGGACTCCTGCAATTTGTTGCTTCTCGTTCCTCCTAATGGAGACTTTCTCTGCATCATTAAACTATGTACTTGCATGTCAACAGTAGCTTTCGTTCAAGGACCCAGAGCATTAGACAAATAATGAATTAAAAGTTAAAACAATCCCCTGAGATTGGGAAGATATCCATTTTACAAATGGGGAAATTGTGTGATCTTGAGTCCCTTAGCACGTCCGTGGCAGAGGAGGGATAGACCCCAAGTCTGCTGTAACCACTTAAAACAGCAGTCTTTGTGGGATACATTGTTGAATAACTTTGCAGTTACATTATGAGTGTATAAAGACAAACTTACCTTCCTGAGAATGGAAAGGAAGCTCTGTTTTTCTAGTTGGAGGGAAAAGCTTCAGTTTTCTTTTTGTCTATCCCCTTTGACAGCTGCTGGGAAGCGGTGTATGTGGGGAGTTTTTACATCCCATTTCACTGAATTTGCAAGTGAAATATATACTGTAGGACACCAATTATGACATGGGCTCTAGCAATTGTGGGCATTCTCTAAAAGTATCTAGAATCCTGAAGGAGCTGCTGTAAGCTCTTTGTAACAAGCTTTTTTTTTTTTTTTTTTTTTTTTTTAAGTATTTTTGCTACTGTAAAAAGAGGCTCATGTTACATTTTACATTTTCTTTGCCCCACCTGTTCCACAGTGATTAGACCAGTGCTTCCCAAACTCAGTGGTAGCAGATGACAGAATGAGGAGTAATGGTCTCAAGTTGCAGTGGGGGAGGTTTAGGTTGGATATTAGGAAAAACTTTTTCACTAGAAGGGTGGTGAAACACTGGACTGCATTACCTAGGAAGGTGGTGGAATCTCCTTCCTTAGAAGTTTTTAAGGTCAGGCTTGACAAAGCCCTGGCTGGGATGATTTAGTTGGGGATTGGTCCTGCTTTGAGCAGGGGGTTGGACTAAATGACCTCCTGAGGTCCCTTCCAACCCTGATATTCTATGGGGCTGGGAGCATCTCTCTCCCCTCTGTTCCTGCAGGGGCTGCCTTCAGCAGAGAGACTTCCTACAGGGGAAACATTCAGCAGGAAGGCTTTCT